TGTCAGTTTTCACATGGTCATTATTAGTGTATAGAAATGTGATTGATTTTTGTGTGTTGATTTTGTATCTTGTGACTTTGCTCACTCATTCATTAGTTCTAGGTTTAGGGTTTAGGGGTTTTTATAAAATAGATTTCTTGGAATTTTCTGTGTAGACAGCCGTGTTATCTGCAAATACTACTTTATTTTTTTCTTTTCAATCTGTATGCCTTTTATTTCTTTTTCTTGTCTGATTGCAGTGGCTGGAACTTCTAGTATGATGCTGAATAAGAGTAGTAGGAGTGGACATCCTTTCCTTGGAGTGTAATGTGGAAACATCACTTCCATTTGGGTCTCTTTACTTTCCCACTTTTAAATATTATTGCCTTGAGTATCAGTTGGTGTTTTCATGTTTGTTCTAATCATCAAATATAATTTAGAAAACTCACATGAAAAAGGATAGTCTGTTGTATTTACTCATATTTCTGCTCTGTCCATTCTTTGTTCTTCCTTTTGATGCTCCATAGTTCCTTCTTTTATCATTTCCTTTCTGTTTGAAGAACTTCCTTTTTAGCAAGTCTTTAAGATGAGAACTGTTAGTGACAGATTCTTTTAGTTTTCCTTATCTGGGAATGTTTTTATTTCCTCCTTTTTCCTAAAGGATAGTTTTGCTGTATATAGAATTTGCAGTTGACAGTTCTTTTAACATTTGAAAAATATTGTGCCACTTCTTTCTGGCCTCCATGGTCTCAGATGAGAAATCCAGTTAGTCAAATTGTTGTTCTCCCTGTAGGTAATGTGTTGATCTCTCTGGCTGCTTTCAAGACTTCTTCTTTGTCTAGTTTTCGGAGTTTAATTATGGTGCGTCTTGGCATAGATTTATTTGGGCTCACCTTGTTTGGGGTTATCTCAGCTTCTTGAATCTGTAGGTTTGTATCTTCCACCAAATTTGGGAAGTTTGTAGATATTATTTCTTAAAATACTCTTTCAGCTCCACCTTCTTTCTCCTTTCCTTCTGGAACTCTGATGAAAAATGACCTTACCTGGGCTGTCTTCTCTTTGTAGGTCAGGAGTGAGGAAGCACTGGGTCTCGGTGTCCTTCTGTTGGGTGAGGGGATGCAAGACACCCTGCTACTGTGCTGCTCCTCCAGTCCTGGGGTCCCAAACTAGTTTGCTTTCTTTTTACTACTTATAAGAGTTCTCCTTTGTTTGTCTCTGTCATTATTTCCGTAGTTTACAGTTGTGTTTAGCAGAAAGAAGTAGGGAAAAATGGATCAAAGTGATTTTGTCCAGGCTGGAAGTCCCTTGCATATGTTTATCTTTCTTTATACAAAAATTCATTTGAGTTTTGGTTACCAGATATTACTTTAAAGCCTTATAGACCATGATGAACAAGATAAACTTAGATTATCTTGGTAAATTTAGATATTTTAATATTTGGTCACAAATCCTAGATTAGCACTTGTATATCAAAGTATGTAGTGATTATACAGCAAAGTATTCTTTATCATGTGTTAAAAATACATGTACTCAAGTTCATTTTTAGGCCCTTTTTCTTCTCTCATGTAAGGTAAAGCATATGTGGCTACAGTGGTAGAGAAATTAAAACTGTTTTCTTAAGAGCTGAGTAACTTAACAATTTGAAATCCTTTATGATAAAATGGATAATTGTGTAAGTTACTATATTTTTGACATTTGTATTTTAAACATGAGAGTCAATGCTCTGAAAAGTAAATTACTAATAATTGAAATGATTGGTGAACATTCAGAAGAAAATATTACCTGACAAAGACACACTCTTAAAAAGTCTGTTTACATGTGAAAAAGCTGTTATACAAAGAAATTTATGATGAAACACATTTTAAAAGTAGAAACTATTATTTGTACACTAATATAAACACAAACATATAAAGGTTTAATTTATAGTTTCTTTTCTCTTTCCTTCCCTGTGATACAATTCATGTCCTAACAATTTATAAGCTTTATAGTTTCTGAAAAGAAAAAAATTAAATGATGTTGAGAATATAAATCACTTTTTCCTAATCTCTTCCTTTTCATGGTATCTATCAGATAACTCATATAGATTCTGCATTTCATATGAAGGAGAAACTTGTTTATTATGCTACAGTTAATTATAGAAACTGGAATATTAACACTGCTAGGAACATTAGAGACATATCATTCAATTGTTTTTAAATATTTTTTTAAACACAAAACCTTTTCTACTTATATAGATTATAACTCAGAAAGAAAAGAGCAGCCATTCCCTAACCCTTTTCCCCTCTGCAGACCTCCAGGCACCTCCTCAGAACTTCTGAGACTTCAGGGATTTAGGGAGGCCATTTTTCAGATAAGGAAAATGAGACTCAAAGAGAGGGACTTAACTGAAATCACATAGCTAACCACAGGCATCATTGGTTAAGACATAACATCAATAAACATGCTACCTCTGGGTCTTTTTTAATGATTTCCTTCTTGGTGGCATCTTTTTTTTTTTTTTTTGTGAGGAGATCAGCCCTATGCTAACATCTGCCAATCCTCCTCTTTTTTTGCTGAGGAAGACTGGCCCTGGGCTAACATCCGTGCCCATCTTCCTCCACTTTATATGAGACGCCGCCACAGCATGGCTTAACAAGCAGTGCGTCGGTGCGTGCCCAGGATCTGAACCAGCGAACCTCAGGCCGCCACAGCAGAGCGTGCGCACTTAACCACTTGCGCCACCAGGCCGGCCCCCCGTGGCATCTTCTTTTTAAACCTTATGTCTATTGCCAATAAAAAAAGAACAGCCAAAAATTTGAGGCAACTCCATGGATATTTGATATTATTCTGTGGTGAAATATTTTATAAATGATGAATTATCTTCATTCATTCATTTGTATATCATTCTTAGCTCACTCATTCACTCAATAAGCTCTGTGCATTTACTCCATATCAGGCATTATTTTAAGTAGTGGGGATAAACCAGGTTTAAAAATAAAACCTCTGTTTTCAAGGAGCTTCCATTCTTATAGAAGAAGAAAGGCAATAAACAATATGTAATATGTCATATTCGTGTAAGTGCTAAGAAGGAAGACAAAACAAGGTGAGGGAGATAGACAGGGGTGGGGGATGCTACTTTAGGTAGGGCAGGTAGGCAGTGTGTTCTCTGAGAAGGTGACATTAGAGAAATTTGAAGGAAATGAGGGAATGAGCCATACAGATATCTGAAGAAAGAAGGTGCAGGCAGAGGAAAGAGATCCAAGTTCCTGAGGTAGCAGGGTGCATGATGGGCACAAAGAGCGCCTCAGAGGCCCTGAGGTAGGAGAGGAGTTGAAGCTGTGAGGTCAGGTGGTAACAGATGGATGTCTTGAGTGTGAGATCTTTTTTAACATTTCTTTGTAAATTAGGTGAGAAAATATTGCCAGACTCCCAATTAGGCCACCAATTTAAATAATTCAAAGCTTATCTAGCTTATTGAGTCCTCTAGTTTCAGAACATCCTGATCTGATTATAATTATATATTGGCTCTGCTGCTTGCTAGCCATGTTACCAGGACAGGTAAGCCTGTTGCCTCATCTACGTCGTGAAGTTAATAACACCAGTGCTGTTCTCCACACAACGCTGTTGTAAAGGTCAGCTGACTCACTGTATTACAAAATTATTTTAAAAACTATAAAATGCTTTGTGGTTATTATTCCATAGGAGAACGGCATAGGGCCTTAAGGCAGGTTTTGAAGGATCTGCCTGGTCACTGTGTGAGCAGGACTTCCCGTAGTAATTACCAGTAATTTCATTATTACATGTCGGTTCTTGTGAAAATGCAGAATTCGTGGTCTGACTTTTTCAAATGGCTACTTGGGATCAGAGACAGAATGGCCATTAAATTAAATGTTTGGAAACATGCATTAGTACAGACAGTTTAGCAAATATATAGGTAACCATCCTTTCTCATTATCCTTTCAAGGTATCATCATCTGAGGCTTATGTACCCAAATAGAGAGAATCTGTATTAAGAGAGGCTAGGAAGCAGGAGAATCAGATTTTTGGCTTACTTTTGTATTTAAAACTGCTTTTTAACTTAAAATAGCGAACATTTTCACCCACAGAGGTTGGAGATATGATTTGTTTAGGACTGCCTCATCTCATTCAGTTATTCAATGAGAGGAAAAATGAGTATCCTTTATTTAACTGAGACTTCTTTTACATTAGAAGTGGAGAAGTGAATAAAGGATATTTTACTTTATTTTGATTTATAGCAAAAGTCATGTGACAAATGCACTTTAGTAAAATCTTTAGTTTCGAAGTAGAGAAATTTTTTAAACAAGAAGATTTAGCAATAATAATACTAAAATGAAAATTAGAAATGCATTTAGGATAATTTAACCTTAAAATTCAGCTATAGTTGAGTATGGTGAACTATTACAATTTCACATAAAACAATTCAGCATTTTAACATGACATATATTAAATACCAATAAGCCAGTTCTGTGAAAATCTACTTGTTTGAATTTATTTCGGTAAAGAACGTTAAGAACCTTCCTGTGCTTTGTTCCAAACATAACATAACATAAATGTTTGAAATTAGGTAAGGCATAGAGCTTTTGAAGGTCTTTGGTGGGGGGAGAGGAGTGGGGTGGATAATGGGGGGATGTTGTTGAATCTTTGTTCCACACATTGTAAAAATTTTCAAGTGTTTAATCAAAATAATCTGATTTGAATTCTTTTTTTTTTTTTTTTTGTGAAGAAGATCAGCCCTGTGCTAACATCTGCCAATCCTCCTCTTTTCTTTCTGCTGAGGAAGACTGGCCCTGGGCTAACATCCGTACCCATCTTCCTCCACTTTATATGGGACGCTGCCACAGCATGGCTTGCCAAGCAGTGCATCGGTGCGTGCCCAGGATCCGAACCGGAGAACCCGGGCGGCCGCAGTGGAACGTGTCCACTTAACCTCCTGTGCCACCTGGCCGGCCCCTGATTTGAACTGATATAAACCAGTTCAGTAGCCTTTGCCACCAGTTTGAAGTGTGTATTTCCACTTCCAGGTGGACATAACTGATGTTGAGAATGAAGAGAACCGCTACTGTCTCTTCATCGAACTCCTGGAATCAAGTCACCAAGAGGTTGAATTTCAGCACTTGGTTTTGCTCTTGCAAGCTTGGCCACCTATGAAATGTGAACATGTGTAAGTATTAACATAAAATTAGATTTTTTTTGTCTGGACTTTAGTTTTAAAAATTCAGTACATTCAAAAGAGCCAATAAAAGAAATGTATAAAATCAATATTAGCCTATAGAGGAAATTAAAATTGTTTTTTTGAAATATTGCAGTTTCTTTTCATTTCTCCTTGTCCCTAAATCCAAATATTTTATTCATAAACATCAGACGATGCTTAATAACAACATCTGAGATATGATGTCAACAAAATAACTTTGTTCCAGTATTTTCACCAGGAAATTTTTTGACTCTCTCTTAACACAGCTTACAGGGCTAACTTGAGAATCCATATGGAATAAATTGATAATTCCCATTTATTGAGAACACACAATGTTATATGAAATTTGCATATATTATCAATCCACATAAACCTATATGGGAAGATGATGTTATCTAGTTTTATAGAGGGAATTGAAGCTCAGAAGGTAACTTCAGGCATCACATAGCTAATAAGTGGAGGAGGCAGAATTCTAACCAAGTACTGGCTGCTTTCACAGCCTGTGTTGTTTCCTCCATGTCATGCTGAGTTTGCAGCTGCCACTCATAGTTGCATGGAGTGCTCATGCAATCTTTGTGCCATCAGCCAAGGATTCCTTTGGAAGAAGTGCCCAGATTTCCTCTGAGCACATATGCTGTCTGTCATGAACTGCTACTCCTTGTGGGCAAAAAATAGAGGCACCTGCGCCTCTGTTCCAAATGCCTGTTTCCTCCAGGGCTCATCCTGTTCTTCCCACAGCCTGCAAGCACTTTTGTACCCTGGGCTGGTGCACATCTCTGCACCTCAGAAGTTAAAGAAGCATGTTTTCCTGAAATAAGTTCTTCTCTGAGCAGTTTAAGACTGCTACAGAACATCTGGAAAAGACTCTACCTTAACCCTAGGATGAGCCTGTTAGGAACTTCTGAAGCAAGCCAAGGAGAGTGGTGTTTTTGTTTTGTTTTTTAACCAAGTGTTTTCAGAAAGGAAAAAAACATTTCTTAGATCTCTATCGTTTATGGCAGAGATGGCATGCTGACATGTAGCTTTTAAGAATAGGTTCTCACCTTCACTATTTGAAGCTTGACAGTACAGGCTCTCAAATCATAAAATGTTCAGTTTGACTTGTGACAGTGTGTTGAAACAGCATTTCCATATGGTTCCCAGCTATCTTGGCAGAGCTGCTTCAGGACCTAGGAAAGCTTGTTAAAAACAAAGTCCCACGCTTGACTTACTGAATCCAACTCGCTGTACTGGGAATCAGTTTCTAAACAAACTCCTAGGTGATGATAATGTGAAGTGGATGTGGGACCCAGTAATTAGATTGTCGTAATGCTTTACTTTTTTAGGAAATCATTAGGGTTGAATTGTAGATTTCTTCATACCCTCAAAATGGATCTCTCAGTCTAAACAGAATTTTTCTAATTCAAAAGATGACACCTAGTAGATAAGTTAACTGTGCTTTTACAGTTTCTTTTACTTTTAGAACACTGACCATTTCAGATCACTCCCACAAGAAGCAAAATCAGTGTCACTGAAAACATTTATTGCATTTAAAACATTTAATGCATTTGTAGACCAAAAAATCTTAATTTTTAAAGGTATATGCTTATTTTTGTAGTCACATATGAAATGAAATCTGTAAATTGCTAACCTATGTTTGACAAACCTCCTTTATGAAATTGTTAGAATCAGAACAAACATTACCAGTCTGCTTAATCCCTCTTATCTGCCGTGTCTCCTCTACCTAAGAGAGAAACTAGAGGATAAGCAAATAAAGTTGTCTGTTTCTACTTCTTTCCTGGCTCAAATTGGTGAATAGCACAGGAGAATGTATCATGGGATACCGTAAAATCAGGTTCTTAAAAGTACTTCTGAGTACCTTTTTTCTTCCAGAGGATCCAATGTATGACTTCAGCACTTCCAAAATAACAAAAAAAAAAAAAAAAAAAGGGAGAGAGAGAGGGAAAGGTGAGAAGGAGGGAAGGATAGTGTGATAATGACTGAATGTTGCAGTCAACACAATAAAGTTAAAAACTAAGAAATTTCCTTGATCCACATGACTGCTAATTTACTAGTATCAACTTTGGTTTTTTAGTTTTAGTCTCTTGTAGGAAAATGCATGGAAAGTATAATAGGCCTGTACTTATGGAAGATTGATAGTTTTCACCCAGTGTATCACAACTGGCTAGTGAAAAATACATTTTGATACGTGTTGTCAAAGCCACATTGCCCTTCAGGGCACATTGCGCTGGCAGACCAGGGTTTCTACTGCAATGAGACAGCCTGTTAGAGAGATACCCCGGAGAGCTGAATTCAGGCTTGGAAAGAGGGAGGTAGAAGGTGAGTCCTGAGTGTAAGATTCCTCCATCAACCAGACGCTCTCAGGGCTTTGTTTCTACCTTGAAATAAGCAGAGTACTTTGTCCTCGCAGGTTGTTAGTTTGAGCTGAGACCCAAAGACTTTGCCAAAGGCTGGTATTGTGAGTCCCCTTGTCACTGCTGCACTTGACGTTTTTCTCAGGGGGTGAGGATTGAAATTCTTTTCAAGGGAAGGACCATCCTTTGGGGTTTAGTGTCTAGAATCTAGAGCTGTGCTAATGAGACAACAGACTCTTAATGAATAGTAAAATTATTTAAAAATATTATAAGTAAAATCAGTACCCTGTTCTTGGAGCCATAGAATGACTGTACCTTTAACTTGTCTCTTGAAATGTGAATTGTGATGTTTTTATGAAACATGGAGTAGTGGCATCCAGAGAAGGGAAACAAAAGGCAAACTTTTGCATGCTTTTCTGTTTCAGAAATAAGAAACTATGTGAAGGGCAAAGTGTGTGATCTCCATGTGCGTGTGTGTTCTTCCTCAGTCTGTGCTCCCAAGCTGACCTCTGTTGTGCCCTGCCCTTATTGTCACTTAGTCCTGCCTGACCCCAGAATCATAGTCAGAGTCATGTCCATAATCACATGATGAACAAAAGCCTGTATTTAGGTAGTAAATAGTAAGATGTACCTGTTATTAAGAGTTATACTTCACAATTACAAACATCATTTATTAAATGAAACAACCCTGCAAGAGAAACATTAAATTGCCTTCTCATGATGAAAAAAACTGAAACCCAGGAAGATTGAGTGGCTTCCTCAAAACCATACAACTAGGCTGAGAGTATTTAAGTAACCACCTCCCTGAGTCACCCAAGTAGTAAGTCAGGGAGCCAGAATGTGAGCCCGAGTTCTCTGGCTTCAAAGCAGCCTGTGCTCGTCAGCATCCACCCACTGCCTCCATGCTACTGGGCTCTTGTTGATATCACAGGCAGCTCCTTTTCCTCCGTAAGATGTTACCTTTTCTACAAGATAGACTGGAAGGAACACATCATCTAGATTATGGTTACAATTTGCCAAAAGCATTTTAGTTCGAAAAGTTGGATTTCTTTTCTATTTTAAAATTTCTTATCACAATTGTCATAGTTTTAATCATTTCCAGTGCGTTGCATTTTCCTCTCTTAGAACCAGCACAACTCATAACCCGTGGGTGAGACTAGCTACAGTGATGCTAACCAGGTGTACAATGGAGAACAAGGAAGGACTGGGGAATGAAGTTTTGAAAATCTGTCGCTCTTTGTATAATACCAAGCAGATGCTCCCTGCAGAGGTGAGTGGATATTTCAAGTGGCTTTCCTGGGGGGTATCCTTTTCCTTATCCAAACTGTTTATTATAAGCAGTATCAGTGACTGTACTTGAGGAACATTTAGCTTAAGTTATCAGTAGGTAAAGGCCCATAATTTGTAACAGATCAAATGAAGAAAAGCAATGCTGAAAGGATGCTTTGAGGTAGTTCTCTCTTTGTGGGAGCTCTGAAGCAGTATTCCTTTTACACGTCCCCAAGCATAACCCAGTTTTCAATTCGTTCGGATGCCCTTTTACGTCTAACTCAAGTTTATGTTCCAGGGGTCAGTGTAGCTCATATGTTGTCTCTGTCTGAACCAGGCCACTGGGTAATGTAGTAGTAGCTTTAGCTCTCCTCTCGGCAGGTAACAAAGCGCTCTCATTTCTAATCCTCTCGGACGTCATTCTAATAAGATTGTATAACCACAATAGCCATTCTCTGTGAAAATGGTAAAAACTCAGCCACCTCCATTTTGACCTTTGTTCCCTTTGATCCCATAATTTGACTGTCACAGAAGTATTTGTAATATGTACATATAAATTTGTACGTTCTAAAATAAGCACATATTAATTACAGCCCCCTGCCCTGGATCCAAACTCAGCAGTATATTGTTTGAGCAATTTGCATGTCTTAAATGTAAGCATTTGGATAATGGAACTAAATTGATTAATTGGTTTTCAAGTTTCTATCACGTAGGAGATAAACTTGAAATAAAATTGTAAATATGATTCTTTGAATCCTCATTGTAATCACTCAAGGAAAATATTCTCATTATGAATGCACATTTAATGAATTGTTTTCTGAATGAAGGACTGGCTAAGTGTTTTTTGATTGAATTTTAAAATATTTTATCCATTTAAAGAAGTCTTCCAAACACCAGAATGACAAAATTCTTCTATAAAATATTTAAAGTGCCAACACCAAAAAATAGCATCCCCCTACCCCAGTGGTATGTGATTTGCTTGTATCAGCTACTTATTTACCTGTGGGCTGCTCTGCTATACTGTGAGTACCTGGAGGGTGGGGACCATGGCTGTATCACCTGTTTCACCTATGGCCGCATTCAACATACTGCACAGAGTGGGAACTCAACATGGTTTGTTATCCCCACCAGGGTAAGTAATATGTAAATAAATGGGGTTCATCTTTGCTTTAACATAAGCTAAGAGCATGCCTTGTTAGATCAGGACCAAACGCCAGAAGTGTCCTACTGTCTATTCTGTGGAATCTAGGTTAGGAAAACATAATTTAGGATCAGTTGTTACTATATAACAAGCTGGTGGCAATGGCAGTAACTGACGTTTACTAACACTCTTGGGCTTTCACTTCCATTGTCTCATTTAACCTTCACTACCACCTGTAAGGAGGGTCCTTAATCTCCATTGGATGGCTGATGGAATAGAGGCTCCGGGGGCAAGGATCTTGCTCCAGATCATTGAGGCAATAAATGGTGGATCTCAAACCAAGTCTCTGTGCTTGAATGCTTGAAAAATCAATACTTCCAAATGAGCCACTTGTACGACACTTGAGGTGTATGCATATTGAATATCTGTCTTATGTAGGTGTTTAAGTTTTATTGTCAATTTTCTTCCTTTTCTATGGTATTTCCTTCAAGAATGGCATATAGAATCTAGAGTCTAGATTATCAGTGTCTTAGATGTAAGAGTGTTAGGGTCTCTATCACTGCCTAGAGAAGTTTGTTAGTTTGTTTTTTAAAATATCCTTATTGGTTTGGTTTTACTGTAATTAGTCCTAAGGCAAGGAATGTAAGTTAGCCGAGAACGTGGCCACTGCATCTTTGACTCTGACATCGTACCATTAGCTATGTAATCAAGCTTCAAGAACAGTTATGTATATTAAAATCTTTTAGCCACCTAGGAATGGGTGATAGATATATCTGAATGTCCATAGCAGTGGTAAGTCCTATTAGCATTACATTTAAAGTTTAGGGAAACCTTCCAGGACAAAGAAGGAAAAGGATGTTCTTCTTTTTATTGACTAATATATGGTAAGTTATACTTTCTGTTTCCTATGAGAAAAAAAAGAGTTGGTGGTTAAATGAGAAGATAAATAGCTGTAATGATTCAGCTCCTTAATATGCTTCTACAGCCAGCTTGAGGCACTTTGACAAATAAAGTAATACATTAAGTTTATTTGCACTGGTCCTGTTTGATCTCAGAATCATCTGGTCAGTGATTCCTAGATGTTTTAAGGACATCAATACAGATAGCGCAGCGCCTTAAGCACACATGTATTAGAGTACTCCCTATACCACACCATGGAAAGAGATTTACCTGCTTCTGTTCCGTATTAGACTGGGGCACCTGAAGGCGGGGGACGTCAGACATAGAACATAGTACAGAAGGAACCCTAGTGATGCATGAAATTGTACTCTTCTGTTCCTGACTGGGCCACAACATGATCTGTGACCGTGAGAAGAGCACCAGACTCTCTGGACCACTGTTTTCTGGTCTCTGAAACAAGGGGTTAGATTGGATGATCCCAGAGGGGACGTTGGCTCTGTCTATTCCGCAAGGTCTCCAAGCCTGAGAAGAGAATGAGCTGACGCTGTCCGTTTACTACGTCTTCCATAGCACATAATTTGCTACCTTTCATAGGTCCATAATTCTTCTGGGGTGAGGAGAAGGGTACTAGGTTGAACCACATTTTTAAGTAGGTCTTCATCACTTCTCTGTTTCAGTTCGATGAGAAGAAAGATAATTATCATCAAATGAGTTCTGTTGCTACAGTGACTTTTCTTCATTTTCATTATGCTGCCTCAGTTTCTATCTTTTAATTGGGTACATTTACAGATTTTTTTCTTAGGATGTCATGATTAAAGGAGCTGTGCAGGTGGTATGCACACAAATGTGTGCAAATATAAATTAAAATTGTTACAAAGGAAGGAACATTGTTATTACAAAATGGAAATGTCTCGTTAAGTTTATTTTACCATATATACCACACAGTTTAATTTCAGAGTTCCATAATATTTAGTATCACTGTAGCAGTAAAATTATCCATGACTCACTTTTTTTTAATCCAGTACCTTTGGTTGCCCTATGCCATGGTTTATGAAGAGCGTGTGCCTAACTGTCTATGACAGGGTACTTAAAGGGACTTACCTTCTCTTTCATCCCCGTTTCCCGTCCCCCTACTAAGGTTCCATGTATAGAGTTTTTTTTTTTCCTTCATAACTCTTTAGAAAGCCTTTTTGTAATCGCCTGCTGTTGCTTATGGTACTTGTTTACTTATGGCCGTGATGGTTTTGCTGATAGAAAATATTACCAGAAGGATAAAAATCACTGTTTCTCACAGGTCACATGTCTCACAATCTTGAAAGCTAATGTATCCTTCTTCTCAGCTTGTATCCATGGCAATATATGAAGCATTCTCAGGAGTGGGGGATATGTAGAATAAAAAATTGGCATAAAACAGGTTCTTGGCATTTACAGATTTAAAATTGTAAGTTCCAGCTATTTGTGACTGACCCTGAAGGTCCATGATTTCGCTGAGGCACAGCATGAACTGGAGTCACAGATGCTCTGGGGCGGGTGTGTGGGAGTTAGACGCCCAGCTAATGAGTGAGCCTAGCTAACCCCCAGCTTCTGAATCTCCATGTGATTGTTCTCTCTCATGGCTGAGGCACATTTGATAATGTCAAGAGCTTGATTTTTAGAATCGGATGACACCCATTCCTGTGCGCCTCGTGCCCCATGCTCCTGCTACAGGCCCTGCAACATCTTCGGGTGCAAAATACCCCAGGACCAGCAGGAGGACAGAAGGACGTTTGGTGGACCAGTCTTGCTTCTCTGACAACCATCGGCCATAGGGGCCATGCCCCAGGGCATCACCGTAAATCACAGTCCGCAGGGAGAACAAACGCCTGGCTGGCTCTGGGCCCAGGCCCACCTGCTCCTCTTCATTCAGGGCCTCTCATTGTTTAGTGTCCTGAGGGCCAGACAGGTTTGCCCTGTGAAGGTGCCGTATGAAATGTTTTGTGGTTCTCTTGGCTATTTCGACCTTTCTTGCAGCTCCCAACTCCCTTTATAAATCTCCTAATAAACTGGCTTCTTGCAACACAGGGGAAAATACCTGACAAGCAGAGTATAGTATTTAAGTACAGAGTATTTAGCCAATAACTGTTAGCTAAGAGAGAAAAAGTACTCAGTGGCTCACATAAAATGAATTCCTCCATTCTTGAATGTCCTTTCCTGGCTGTGTGTCGTCTATCCATTATGCCTGCTCAGAGGGGTATACAGGTTAATTCATAAAATTTTTCATCAAAGCTAAGGTCAGCCAAGTGTTATGCTTAGTCTAAATATCATAAATTGCTGAGAAATACCTGTTTACCAATTACTGATAACTTATTGAATAAGCAAATATGAGTGTTAAGAGAGGAAACTTTATATAAATATTTTCAAGTATAGTATGTACCAAGCAAGTTTGGAATGCAGAGAAGCAAAAATCTTCTTGCCCTCAAGTGAGGCAGATAGACAAATGAATAATTACAGTAATGCAAGATGACAGCGTAGGAAATATTTGCAAATTATAGCCAGAATCGGGGAGTGCCAAACCTGGGAAATCAGAGGGGCCTTTGTCGGAGATGAGGTTTTCCTGTGCCTTTTTAAGCTGAGACTTAAAAAACAAATTGGGGATAATCAGACAGAGAAACAGCAGAGGTTATATCCTGTGCAAAGACCCGAAGGTCTGAGAGAGCTGGGACTCTGCAGCTGCCTCTGCCTGTGCGGTAGCCACTGGCCACGTGTGGTTTTTACAATTAAAACTAAAATTAAGTAAAATTGAATAAAGTTAAAAATGCATCTCCTCAATTGCACTAGCCACATCTCAAATGCTCATTTTCCACATGTGGCCTGTGGCTGCCGTGCTGGACAGCACGGATTCAGAACATTCCATCCGGCTGGAAGGTCTCCTGGGCAGCACTCTGAGGAATGTGCAGGTGGGGAGCATGGCTGTAACGTTCAAGGAGGAGGGTGAAGGGAACAAATTGGGGTGTGGCAGCTGGGCCAGACTGTCATGCACAAGAGTTTGTATTTCATCCTCCCAAATATTTTCTATAGCTTTTGGCATCCCAGATTAAAAATCTGCATTTCTCTTTGGCCCAGATGCTGGGTGAGGCTCCTCTCTGTGCTGTGTGTGCATTAAGGCACACAGAAACTACAAGAAACTAAGCACTCGTCTGAATTAGAATCCCTAATGTTTAAAGGACACATTTTACAGAACTGTTACCCTGCTGACATTGACCGTTTTCACACAAGTTGGTATAGCACAACCTTCCATCTGAAATTTGGAGGCCTTGCTGATTTCCAGCAGAGATATGCTGTGTGAAAGCTAAAAAAACTACAGTGAGTAGAATCCCAAAGAGACATTTATCCTGAGCTCTCAATAGGAGCTCCTTTGTGTCATCCTTATTTTATCTATGCTTTATAATAATGTAAAGGAGTTACGAAAATGTCATCAATTTGAGTTTTTCTTCTCTGAGAGGCTGCTGTTGGAGTAGCACAAGAGAAGGATCAGCCACGGAGGGCAGAGATTCTCAATTCTGTCAAAAAACACCCTTGCTGTGTACGATGAGGGTGCACTCCTTCTCTGGTCCTTGAGCTGCGTGTTCTGTTCTTTACATTACAGCTCAAGTCAGGACACCGAGGGAGCACGTAACTCAGCAGGGAGGGATAGCTTGCAAATTTATTTTCTATTCTTTTATACTTTTGTTGTGAAAGATTATCATTTGTTATCTTACATAAAAGCCTGCTCTCTGATGACAGGTTCGGCCAGTATAGTAAATGGCTGAGAATAAAATTCAAATACATCTGTGGAGATTCAGAAACATTTTCATTTTTCTGGACCACAGATAGTTTTCATGAAGATGGAGTATATTAAATATATCAAGCAATCAGTTCACCTTGACATTAGAATAATAAACAGGTTTTTAAATATTTAAATTGCTGATTTCCTTTGTTGCCGTGGATGATAACTGGATATTGTTGATAATATTAACAATTGATAATAGGGGTTTTTTGTTTGTTAAGCATGTAGTATATGATGAGTATTGTACGTTATTATTCATTAACACTTATTCTCACAAAAAAAACCTACTGCAAAGTTGATATAATTACCTCCATTTTACTTGTGAGAAACTAGGGCTCTGAGAGTTTAGGAAAATAAATTACAGTTCTAAATCCATCCAATAGGATATGTAGCCATTAACAGCAGTGCCATAGATGAACATCTGATAGCGTGGAAAGATGTTTACAGTACACTCTGTGGAGTGAGTGAAGCAGGTACCAAACACCAAATCAGCGTGGTCCCATGTGTGCTTTATACACACACACACAGGCACACACACTCATGAAAAAGGTGTGGAAAGACACAGCCAGGATAGCCCAGGGATGTGACGTGCTTCCTTGCTTTCTCACTCACATAATTGCACTTGTGGTTTCAGTGTGTGAAGGAGCTGTGCTCGCTGCTGCTTAGCCAGGCCCTTCTGCTCCCATCCCTGAAACTCCTCCTCGAGAGCCAAGACGAGAATCTTCACGCTGTGGCACTGGAGCAAATCACCGCTATTGCTGAGGTAGTCCCGGTGGGATGTAGTCTTGTTTAGGTTTCAAAGAAATGAATTAGTATTGTCATTCTCATGAATAATAGCCATGGTTTATTTAAGACTATTTTGTCTGCAGTGTTCTCTGACCACAATGCTATTACTGTTTTGTTTAGGAAGTAGGTATTTGTTTATTTTACAAACATTCACTAAACTCCTCCCATGAACCAGACTCTGTGTGTAGGTGTGAGAATACAAATCCAAAAACCAAAGCAGTTTCTCTAGAGAAGCAGCATATTCGCCTCTCTAAGAAAATGTCCAAGCAGCCTAGGACTAGCGGACTAGTCCCTGCCACTTGAAATTTGGGTCGAAGGAACTCCAGCCTCAGGCAGGTTTTCTGTGCCTGGATGTGTGTGTTTGGTTATCTACTAATTAAAGATGAGAAAGTGGCTGCAAGAAGTGTTTCCTGGTACCACCTGAAATCTCAAGATCTTATTTCCTCTGGCAACCCCAGCTGCCATTGAAACAGCCTCTTGGCTTAAAGAGTGATGTTCTAAAGTCAAGGCTTGAGATTCCTCCCTCAAGGCTGGTTGTCTTGTTATCGTGATTAAGGAAGAAACTTTCACTTCCCTTTTTAAATGTTATACTTTAGGATGAGATAGCTCAGGGTTGTGTTTTAATGAATTCGAGTTGTTTGATCCTTACTGAAACCCTTCTGTAGGGAGATCATTTCTTTCATCTGAAGTATTTGTGAGTGTATGTGTGCCTGTTGTGTTGTGAGTGTGTACACACATGCATATAATTTTACATTTTATGTGTGCGTGTATATGTCTACGTATGTGTGTTTGTGTGTGTGTTTATATATATTTTTAAACAAAATGTAAGAGGATGCCTTCTAGGGACCAGAGAGGGGAGGAGAATCCTAGAGCGGAGGTACATGCTTGCCATACAAGACAGTGAAGAGATTGATGAAAATATGTCATTGATAAAAAATTTTGTTAATGACAAAGGATACAGAAAGTTACGTATACGGTTCCAGAAAGTAGAACACAATCGCATTTGGAAACAGTCATAATGAACAAAATGAGAAAAATCTAATGCCTTTATTCACTTAGATGTATTTTCAAAATAATGTGAAGCTTCTGTAAAGGTTTTGTGAGTACCCTTCATTATCACTGATAATTGGTCATTATAGGGGCCTCTTTGGAAACTGGACTGAAGTAGGGGATTGAAGGGACTTGTCTGCTAGTAGCCTCCCTGTTATCTGTGCTGAAATGAAAGTTGCACAATGTTGGGAATTTACAAGAAACTAAGAATTACAGTGAGATTTTTTTCCTTAGCCTATCTTTGAGTGTACATCTAAGGAATCAAGAAGATAAAACTAAAGAAAATCAGGGTGCATATTTTCAGTGCTTTTTTTTTTCTTAGCACCGTTGTACATTGTATTAGTATCTCTGCTTAGGTATTGCCACTAAAATTTCCCATGGACCGCTTCGAGAATAAAACAGTGATGTATTATACATTGTCTTTCCATATTCATCCTGCACAGAGCTCTCTTGATGCACTCCTGAATTCCATAGGCGAGTATATCAGTTTTCGTTTTTAAGATTCTTTATCTCAAATGCATCTGTTAGAACTGCAACTAGAGCTGGGGCTCCCTAACGGCTAACCCCCCAACCCCCCACCCCACCCACACTGACTATCAAAGTAAGAAACCAAATGGGAATGTTGCAACACCCAAGTAGTTTTTAAAAGGTGCTAATTTACCTCCATGACACTTGGGTCTGTGTGTTTGATGTGCAGCGTTGTGCTGAAACTCTGTGATTTTGAACAGCCCTGCAGACTGGTTTGCCTGGGTTGTGATGATAACACCCAAAACCTCTGTGGCCTTCAGGTGCAAAAATCAAAGCCAGAGGTGTAAATTGCTGAGATGAGTCACTTACCTTCCACTGAGACCCTTACTTTTAGGAATTCAGTAATGAGACTTAACTGTAACTTCTCTGCACTAATTTGAGTATTCACATTAGGCTAGTCCTTCTGTGACCCTAAAATGTGTTCACAAAAATGCTGAGTATTGTCAGACCTTTTGCATTCTCCAAAGAGCTGAAGTTTTGCAGAGTTTTCCAGTTTTTAAATATTTTTTAACTTTTTATTTTAAGATAATTTTAAATTCACGTTTAATTATAGGAAATAATACAGCAAGATCTCTTATACCCTTCACCCAGTTTCTGCCAATGGTAACATCTAGCATAACTACAGTATAATATTATAACCAGGACATTGACATTGGTACGATCTCGGGACTTTACTCAGATTTTTCCAGTTTTACGTGCACTTATTTGTGTGTGTTTCTGTGTGTAAAGTTCTGTGCAATATTGTCGCATGTAGATTTTTGTCATCATCACTCCATTCAAGATACAGAGCAGTTCCATCACAAAGATCCCTCGTACTACCCGTTATGGCCACAGCCACCTTCTCCCTCCCCACCCACCTAGCATCCCGTGGCAACTACTAATCTGTTCTCTGTCTCTGTAATTTTGTCATTTCAAGAATGCTTTATAAATGAAATAAGAAATTACTGTAATTTATCATTGCTCTCCCAGTGCCATTAACAGGTCATGTTATACTTTTCTAAGGGAAGGGTTTCAGTGGGCCTTTTTGCAGGACTCCTGTCTAGCTGTTTTAAATCATACTTAAAAATATAAATATAAAATGTGAAAATTACAAAATGTTCACTTTTTTTTTGTTTTTATTTTGCCATTCACTCTATCCATTCATAGGGGGCCTAAGTTCATCAATAACTTCAGTTTCTCCCATATTGGTTGTTGACAGTAGTTCCTGTTGACGTTAAAAGAAAAAACATCCAGCAAAGGGTCTCCTCTGATAGGCAATCACTCCTGCACAGTGCATGGATCTGGGTGGAAAAACTTCCCACTTGCTTGCTGATAGCATGTATTATTCCGCTATTCGTTATAAAATTCTGACATCTTTATAGGTGTTTACAGTTAAAGGGATGATGCTTAAGTGCTGATGCAAGAGATTATACTGACTTTTCCTCCAATAGCAGTACTCATTTCTTTCTCTGAGCTTTTCTGAAATTGCAGACCTCTGGTGTTTAGCATGTAACCTTTTACAAATGGCCAACAGCCTCTTTCCTAGGCCAGAAATATAAAGTCCTTCTTAGAGATTATATTGTATGTGAATAATTAAAACCCTCGTATGGTATAAACTGCTAGATCATCCTCCATCAGCCTCAGTGAGACTTAGAGCTCACCTTCAAAACCTTATTCTCTCCAAGAAGGGTATTCCTGCTGGTGTGTTTGAATCTCATCTCTGGAATATTTTCTACCAAGTGGAAGTCTCTGGACTATTTCATCAAAGTAAGCAGATGTGTATTTATAATAATATGGTATACTGAAAAATGTCCCGTTTTATAATTCCAGATCTGTGGTCGTTTCTGCCCTTCATTGTTCCTCCTCTGTAGTCCTGCCCAGTGCCTCTGCCCCACCCCGAATCCTGGAGACTGTCCTGGACTGTGGTGCTTGTTAAAAAAATAATTCACGGGGTTGTAAAGGAGTCTTTAAGAGCTGTAGCACCTAATTAAGGGTTTCTCCCTGATGCTAGTAATAACTACCATCTTTCAAGTACCAGCTCTTTGCCAGGCATTATCATAGGCACAGCCTCACTTTATCTCCTTAATAATCCTGTGAGAAGATTTCCTGCTGGTTTCACAGATGAAAACACTGACACTCAGAGGTCATACGGCTAATAAGCAGCCAGAGTTGAAATTTAAACCCTAGAGCCAACATTCAAAGTCTATATTCAACCATACTGCTTCTTTCAATGGAACTAGGCGGGCCCTATTATATTGGGAAAGGGTTATCTCTACAGAGGAATCAAATTACTGAAAGCATCTTGAATCATATCACATTAGCAGTGGAAAAGACTAGGGCAGAGCTAGTCTAACAACTTGCCCAGTATAGGGCTTCCTCTTTCAAACATACTCAGTCACCAGGGCCCTAGTCGAGCGCTGCTCGGGGTAGAGAGCTTACCACCTCCTGGGGGCTCTGTGCCATGTTCTGATAGGTCTCATGGTGAGAGAGCCCCTCCAGAATGAAGGCCGCACCCTTCATCTGGAACATGTTGACCTTGGTCCCACCCTGTGGAGTGTCTCAGGATTTGTTGCTTCCACGTGACAGTCCTTCACATATTTAATAAATGTGATTCTTTATCCCCTTTAACCTTGCCTGAAGGCATTAGAAACTACCAGCATTCCTTACAATGACCAGCGTCTAACCTGGAGGGAGGGCCTTAAAGATCCTCAGAAAAGCCTGTTTGGATTGACATATTTATACAAACCAAGAAACCTTCCTTTCTTTGTCCCCACTTTAACTCTTTACAGATTTCTAGCTAGTACCTCCCCGGTGAGAGTCCATTCCAGCCTGCAGGCTCCCTCACTGTTGCCTTTTCCATGCCCCGTTGGGCCTCACGCTTGCCTTCCTACCTCAGTGTGCCACGGTAACAGGGAGAGCAGGCTGGGTCCTAACACCCTTGTTGGGTGTCTGTAGAGTCCTTCTTTGGTTTTAGCCCTCACGTCAGCTGATTTTCTTCTAACTGTATCCAAACTAGGTTAGGCCGAAGTGATCCAGTTGTGCAAAGAAGAATCAAGTGTGTGCTTTCCTATATGTATTACAGATGCCAATTGGTAGTAAACTAACCTCCTTTTATAATCCCTGTTCTTTTGGCTCTTTTAGTACCAGGCTCTTTTTCTCAGGTTTTTTAGCATATCTACTTATTTCTAAGTATCATTTCAACCTGAACATACCTAGACATGTTATTTTCACCCATCATCAATCACCCTCAGCCCATGGTGGTCTTCTTGATGAAGGAAGCTCGGCAGCCGCATATCTCACAGAATTCTCAGATGGATGCCTGTAGTGAGACAGGCAGCTCACTCCCTATAGGTTAACCTGTTCGATTTCTAGACAGCACTGATGGTTGGTTGACTTATTTAGTGTGAACAGACATATTAA